CCTCCTCTTTGGCTTTGGTACTGCGACGACGCCGTGTTCGATGTAGCGGTGTGGACACGGTGGATCAAGACTGATGATTTGGGCGGGTTGGGAGGCATTTGAGTAATTTCACTCTGGAGCAGATTTAAAGTGGTATAGCTTTTTGGGTTTTGGGTATATATTGTAAATTTGGAGAGCTGCTTCTGCTTTAGTGGGAGGCTCTCTGCCTTGCTCTGCTCTGGCTTCCGGTGAGAGATCTTAATTCTTAAGGACTCCCTCTTTCTCTCTCTATCACGCACAAACAGAGAGATGAGTTGGTTGCAAATTTCAAAGCCAAGAATTAGTGAATATAAAATTGGAGAAAGTTCATGTGGGGGATTATAATTTATAAAATAGAAACAAGTTGGTCCTAGAAGCCAAAAAGGAAAAGGAATAAATAAAGGAAAAAATAAACGCAAGTTGATCGGGTTGAAATTAGGCTGTGCAATCTGCACTTTTTCTTTTATTTTTTTTTTTATCTGTCATATATCTTGCGTTATTATTATCTTTTAATTTTTTTCGAATCATTTGATTTCAAGGTTAAAAATTAAAATAATATATGAAAAGTAAAATAAGATGTATAAATAGCGTCACTATAGTATTAATCTAAAGTAATACTAGAAAAATCAAAATTTTAAATTATATTTATAAATCATATGATGTATTATCCATAAAAAATAAATATGTTAATTAATATATACATAATACTTTAAATATCAACAAATACGTTATATAGTTTGCAATGTCATTTAAATAAATAATTTTTCTCACGGTACTCGGTTTTCGTAACAGTCATGTAGTTTTTTCTTTTAATAAATAAACCACACAAGTTGATGGATAACAAGTTGACCCTCCTAAAAAAGAACACGGGGATTAATTATGTTATCATGTCATTTAAATATCATTACCAACTCATGATTTGATTAATTTAAGGTTCCATTTGGTATGCAGATATGGCGAAACGGAATGAAATGGAACGGAATGAAGGTTCCGTGTTATAATTTTTATCTTAAAATTTTTTACTTTTGTGCTCCATGGGGTGGAATGAAAATTTAACCAAAATTCGTTATGTAGGACAGCGCATCCCATTATTTTTGACGCATCAAACGTGAGATGAGCGTGTTCCGTTCCACTTCGTTCCATCACATTCCATGTACCAAACGGTACATTAGGATTTATTGTAGTTGAAATTTATAAGGTTGTTGGAGAGATTTTTAGAGTGTCGGGAACATAATCTAGTACAACAATGTAATAATATAATTAGTAAGAAATTTAAAAAATAATTTTTCAAGTAATATTATTGTGACATTTGGTGCACTAAACCTTGTTCCCGGCACACTTAAGTTTTTCTCAAAGTTGTTGGGCCTCACAACTTCAAGCCTTCAAGATTGGCACGCTCCAACAATAAGAACATGTTTACTTAATAGAAATTGAAAAGTGAAAAATGAGAAAATTTAGAAACAGAGAAAGTACAAAAAAAGAAAAATTGAATCAACTAGCTTCATAGTTGGTCTGATTCCTGAAATTTAGGTATTTGATAATGAATATTAAGGGGAGCTTTTTTTTTTTTTTTTTTCTCCAGAAAATGAGGGGAGCTAATATTAAGGAGAGTTTATAAGTGAATAGATTAACATCGACTATTCTCTTTTATCAGTTTAGTTCACTGTTTTGAAATATCAAATTGTGGATTGTTATGTACAAACTACATTATTTTTATTGTGGATGTTTTTATAAACGAACACATAGTTAAAGTCAGAAATCAAAATAATTTAAATCACCAAGCGTTATTGTACACAAGAAAAATTTGGAATCAAAATAATTTTAATACTCATTTCATTCAAAAAAGCTATGAACTGAAATGAAGGAAAATTATTTCAATACTCATCTTTCCTCCTTATGCGTACCGTATTAATTTCATCTCTTATTTTTTCCTCTGAGTTATTCAATACAGATGCTAAAAATAAAAATAAAAACGTGTAAAATAAAAAGTGTGAAAATCCTTTACCTCTTGCAAATATCGCATCACAAAGCATATAGAGATGATTTATTAAGCAAGAAATTGGTCACGGAGATGGGACTCAAGTCTCACTCTCACATGCAACATAAGCTTCATCATATATGACATTTTTGCATGGTGGTGTTTGTCTCAAGTGCTAAGAACATGAGGGTCCATAGGGTACCGGCCGGACCACCGGTTGGTGCGACAGAGTTTGCTTCAATTTGATGGAATTGGACCATATATAATTCAAATTCATGACTGCCGGTGGTCCTTTGGATGGAAACTCCACAACCCTAACGAAATTAGAAGCTTTACAGTGCAAAACCCTAATCTCGGTTAGTTTATACGACATAAGCCAATATGGCGTTTTGGTCATTGCATATATATCTAATATTTACCAACTTATTTAGAATGCGATCACCAATTTGAATTTACCAAATGCCAAATTGGGATCAAGTTGCAAGAAGCCACAGCCCACAGGGATAGGATAAGCATTTACTCAGTCCCAGACCCCGATTCTGAGCGTGAAGACAAATGTTGAGAAATAAAAACTTGGACCAAACCGATCACCAAACCCTTTCATCCTTCGTCCCTTTCTTATTAAATATACTCATATTCGTGTTAGCCAGGGTTTACTCTTCCACTCCATGCTTGTTCGTATTGAAACCCGTTTTTTCCAAGCACTTGGAGCCAAAGTTTTATAGATATTAGTAAGTGCGACAGTCATTTCGTCAAGTACGCAGTGCATCTTATTCATTTATGAATAATAATATAAGTGGATAATATGAGTTGTTATATCATCAAATAAGATATAGTAGGTGCAGGATTTTGTTTTATTATTTATACTAAATGGGTGGGGGAGTAAGCTAAGTCTCATAATGGGTTAGCAATAAGGTGGTTTAAATTCATCTTTTCACTAGAATCGAATCTAAGCTCTCTCACTTACAAGTGAAGATGGATGCCACTAGCTAGACCGTAGTACTAAGTGGCGGATTTCATTTTATTAAAAACAAAAACAAAAAATACATCGAACCATCGTAGGATATATATGTATTCACTATATTATAGGACTTCTATTCATAATTGTTTCTCTCTTTTTTCTCCAAAATATGACAGTAATATATATGGTAAATATGTGATCCCTAACTTTATCGTCTTGTTATTTTACGTACACTGAGGTTGAAACAGGTTCTCCACTAAAAAGGAGCTCGATGCATAAGCCATTAATTACAACATGATTATATTAATATTCCCACGTGACTGCGTATTGGACTACACATGACAGTTTCTCCAACTTTGAATCTCTTTAAGATAGACGAAGTACACAAAATATGTAAATTTGTATGTGCCAGTGTGTTCTTCTCGAGTTCGATATATATCTTTCAACTAAAGTACTTGAACCACTTGGTTTCTTCTTTTCAAAGTACTAATCAAATTGCTTTATTCAATCTTTGCTTCTTGATTTCTCTTCTGGATTGATTCCATTCTTCTAAAAGCACTGCTTTCCTTCCACTTGACATTTAAAAACATACCTAATATATTGTGGTCGTTTGCTATCTTATTCTAGTTTCAAACTTCTGGCATCACCTCATCCTCCTAACTCGACTCCCCAATCCCATCACCCGATTCCTTCCTTCTCGAATCTACACAAGGACTACAACTATCAACCACCATGCCCAGCCACAATACTACCTAAACCCCCACATGACATCGAATCTGGAACAACGAAGTTTGTTTTTATTTTAGTTTTACATTTCTTTTCAATTGGTAGCTTTTAAGTTTCATTTTTTAATGAAATAAAGTTTGATTTATTAAGGGTTAGATTTGGTATATTTGCAAAGATAGTGGAGCATCCAAAGAAACTAGAAACTAAAACATGGGCGGCCAATAAAGTTATGTTTATAAAAAAATAAATGACTTATGTTTATAAAAAAATAAAATAAAATAAGACATGTACTAGTACAATTGGTACAATTGAAATAATATTATAAAGTGCACAAGTGGTTACAAATTGTGCGAACATTGAGCTAAAATGTAGTTGGATATCTATAGAAATATATAAACAAAAGCATTGGGTTTGATACAAGTTGTTAAACCTTTTCATAAATACGTTGAATAAAGAGAGTGGGAAAATTCTAAATATCAAAGGAAGAGAGGGAACGAGGGGGAAGGTTTCGGTGCACTGTGCGCGATGTAGGTTGATGACGAGTGGCAATGAGCAAGCATGCATGCACAACGGACACAGCAGCACCGAGATCAAGTCTATATGCATGCATGCATTGAAACAACGTACGTGACGTTCTTGATGTATGTACATCCCATGTGACATGCGACAGCTATGGAACTGCTAACTTGTCATCGTCCTCTTGCTCGTTTCGTTTCCTATTAATAGGGCAGTGACCCTTTAGAAACCAAGAAAAGCCAATTAGCTGTATAGATACTGTTTTAAAGGTCTCAAAGGATCATACGTTAACATGGTGCAACATTTTTTTTTATATTCAGGTTTTAAAAAAAACGACGCAAAACCAAAAAAGTTTTGAATCTCAACGAATAAGTTCAAATACTTTTACACTAGACTTACCTCTCAAACCGTAGTTCCAATTGAGTTAATTGCCGGATGGAGTTGTTTTAGTTTCTGCAAATGACCAATTTGGACATTAAAAGCAAGCTTTTTCAAGATAATAAAGGAATAAAGATGCGGACCAATATTATAGTAGATAAGAGTGTTGGGTTTTCACCAATATGTTCGGATTCAAAATTCTCTCATCTTTTAAATTATTTTAATAGTTTTGAACTTTCCTCTCCTGTTAATAATTAATAGCTTTTTAAAAAAAAAAAAATTGAGACAACAGGTGGCAAGATGGTTATCCATGGTTATAGGTTAATAATTAATAACTTAAAAAATACACATTTTGATAACCAAATAAAAAAAAGATATTAAAGGCAATAAATAACGAGAGAGAATTCCCACCGGATCCTTTTTCTAAGAATCTCAGAAATCCTTTAAACATCGTGCGGTCATGAATCATTATAAATTTTTTTATTTAAAATTAAATATAAAAAATACTTAATAAAAACTGATTGTTTAATACACAATAAATGAATATGATTTAAGAATATTGAGAATTCTCAAAAAAAATATCCGAAAAGAATCCTAGTAAATAACAACAAACGAAGGTCGTTTTATTTCACGACAATGCGCGGTCAAGAGCGAAATCCGACCCGACAGTTCACACACGCATGTGTGTAAAAAAAAGAAAAAAAAAAAAAATTGAAAACGAGTTAGCGTGCCAACAAAGGGAGAGAGAAAATTCAACGAGTGGATGGCGGGTCGACTCATCATCCTTGAAAATTTCCCCCAAAATTGGACGGACAGTTAGGGGTGGGAGATAATTTCTGAGAAAGCTTCAGAGTCAAGGCACAGAAAAAAGAGAGGGAGAGAGCCAGGGGTCTTCTTCTCTCTCTAACATTCTGAACGGTTTTCTTCTAGAGAGAGAAAGAGAGAGAAGGCAATTCGCATGGATCAGATTTTGAACAAGGCGGGATCCTACTGGTTCAACCAGAAGGCCACCAAGGAGCTCGGCTCCGTCGGTGACGACCTCAACGTACCTTTCTCCCTCTCTCCCTTACCCTATCTGTGGATCTCAATTTAATTTAATTATGTTATTCAATTGATCATTTTAATCTGACTTAGGATCTAATTAGGGTTTTTTTGGGTTCATGATGATTTTGGTTCCCAAAGTTGATTTCTTTACAGGATCTGAATTTTCTGTGTGGAACCCACTTTCGTAATCGTATTTAGGTTAATTTTTCATTAAAATGTTGTTTTGTTAAACCTGAATGCTGATTGATTCGATATGTTAATTGTCAAGATTAATACTTTTCCAAATTTGGGTTTTTTTGTTTTGTTTTTGGTTTTATGACGTTCTTTTCGCTAACATTGTTTGTCTGATGATTAGTCATTGCAAAACAGCGTCGAAGGAGGAGCCAAATGGTTGGTTAATAAATTCAAAGGTTAGTTTTCTCTGCTGGCTCTGTTTACTTGCATTGCCTGTTAAATTAACGCATCGCATAATGTTGTTTATGACTGATTTTACGAGTCGTAAAGTTCGGACATTGTAGTTGTATTAATTCATGGGGTTAATATGTAATACGTCTAAGTAGTGCAATTAAAAGTGAGTGAGCGATCGCGGATTCTGGCCAGAGTATGGGTGTGCCAGTGCTGTAGAGCGCGTTGTGGTTGAGGGTATGTTTGAGATGGTTTGTTCCTTAATCTTAATGATGCTGGGTGGATATGAGTATATTCGTACGACCCTTTTCCTATGGCTTTAACTTGCTCAACTCTCAAAAACGTCGTATGTGGAGTTCAAGCAAGTAACTTGCTGTTGGGGTTTCTTGAAATATAAGTTGTATGCAGACGGGACGGAATGGGACGGGACGGGACGGGATGGGACGGAACGGAACGGAGCGGGAGCAAAGATGCCCTCGGATGGAAACAAGGAGGAAGAAGAAGGAGACGGAGAGGTTATAATTTTGTGTTCCACGGATGTGGAACTAGTCGTTCCAGGGGGTGAGGTGGAACGAAAATTCACCCAAAACTCGTCCAGTGGAACAGCTCGTTCCACCCATTTTAGGCGCACCAAACGTGGAACGGAACGCCTTGTCCCACTCTGTTCCGTCCCGTCCCACGTACCA